AGGACAATACAAGGATGATGTTGGGAGCATGATAGAACATTTTTAGGACATTATATGAGGACTGTTATTTGACAATACTTACTTCATCCTTAGTTTATAGTAAAAACGTTAGCAATTTAGTTTTATTTAACCACATTTTGACGTTATTCATTGGATATTTTTATTAACAGCTCTAAAATATACCTACATATTATGTCAATGAATTTTGCGTCAAAATTTAGAAGTTTATTTGTATGAGTTAAGAGCTTTCAATTTATACTGTACCATCGAAAAACAAACGGCGTTCAGTTGGCTTGAAAATTACGATCGATGACATTTTCCATATAATTTTACATACAAAATAACAGCAATCTTCATTTCCAAGCCACCTCTGACGCCGTTTTTTTCGATCGTACGGTATTATACCAGTTTATACTACCCTTTGTGGAGTCTAGCAGCAACAGTTTACATCAAAGTTAGCACACAGGGGATACAGGTATAATTTTTAACACCACACCTTCCAGAAACTCACAATTTAAACACAAAAATAGGATTTCTGTTCCAATAGATCAAAACAAAAATAGGTTCAGGGATAAAGAATAAGCGCTTTTCAACAAATTTTTACCTATAATTTTGTCACAAATTTTTTATTGTGAGACCCTGAGTCGTTCGTCGTTTTTCGACATTAGTTGAGGTTAGGATAGAATTTCTGCTAGAAAAAGGCTAGAACTATGAGTATAAGAAAAAACTAAGTCAAACTCAACCAGTTTTGTTAGTTTCAGTCATTTTTAAGCCCATTCAACATCGAAAAACACTAAATCAAAGAACTGAATAATACACGATGCAAAAACAAACAACTGTCGAGATGGATTGTGGGAAATTTTTTACGCGGGCGTTTTAAATTCTCTGTATTACTCAGAGTGGCCAAGCTCCTAAATATCCAGATTATCCAGAAGATACCAAGTTGCCTTGACGTAATATATATCTATCTGTATGGTTTATTGCATTTTGTGTAATATAAAAAGTAGCAAATTATTTATTTTTCCTAAATATCTAGACCATATTGTTAGGATATTTTAGTATCATGAGCATGTTTGGATATCTCAGCTGGATGTACATTAGATATACGACAGAGATATCCACAGGATATTCTATTCTGAGACATCTACAGGATTTCAGGATGTCTAGAGGATATCCTATAGATATCTTGATAGGATGATCTTGTAGTGGGACATTCCGACATTCTATGCATATCCTGAGGATATTGTGTGTTATATGGGATGCATATTTAAATATCTTTAAATATCTCAAAAACCAAAGCTTGTAAACATATTAATATATAATTTCTTTCTAAATTATAATAAATGCCTTATTTTGTGTCCACGGATCCAAATATGAAATAAAATACCGGGTGTTCCATAAGAAAAAATATAATTTTGGTGTAAATCTTAGTTCTGACATACCCTGTACATTTCAAAATAATTTTAAATTATGCACAAGGTCTTCCCACATATGCCCATAAAATATTTTGTTTCTACATATTTCCGTTTTCGTATAATCAACCGAGGCGAATGAGTTGCGCCACCTCGTATATATGTAGGTGTTCCATTTAAAAATATATTCGCGATCCACTCACACTTTTTTGAGCCACCCTTTAGAAGTTCAAATATTTTCCTCAAATACATCCTAATACATACTTTATGTCTGGACTACAAAATTCATAAGTTTTTTATTATTAGAACTGCATATGCCCGACGCACTATTGCCGGACCCTGTAGAATCAAGGTTATTACATTGTTGGTGATAAATTAAATATTAGTATTGTAAACATTTTATTCCACCCGACTCTAGTTCGATATATGCTCAACGAATTGTGATCCTAAACAGACCAATCAAATGTAAAGTTTCAGGCATCCGCGTCCGCTTCTCGCAAAAGACAAAAATTTTGTTTCCATCGCGCTGAACATCTAGGTGCGTGGCGAGGTGCGAGGCTTCAGTATGTTTTGACGCATAAATTTGTACATGTTTGATTCAGCATCGCCGGATGGCGAAGTGAATGGCGCGCATCCCATCGAGATGAAATGCCCCGCACTATGTTTGTACGATAGTCGCGATTAAATATTTATTAGACTATTTATTAATAATTACTGGATCCCTACATCGTAGCGATTGTATCCAGCCGAAGCCCGAAATCGCGAAGGAGCCGGAAGCATGTATGACATGTGTATAAAATGTATATTATGTATAAAGGCCGGGACACACATATTATGCACGTTTCCGATCCGGCTTGGATCGTACAGTCGGACGACTGTATGAGAGGGAAATCGTACGTTATTTTAAGGCCGGGACACACCTATCATGCACGTTTCCGATCCGGCTCCGGTCCGATTTTGCCCCAGAAGCGGATCTCTGTGGGATCGGAAATAGTGAGCATACACATGTCATACATGCTTCCGACTCCTTCACGATTTCGGGCTTCGGCTGGATACAATCGCCATTCTTGATTCAACAATCATCGCATGAAGTCGTGTGCGCAAAATGTTTAATAATTTTAGCCACAGTGATTTAGCCAAGGTTGAAGTTTGTTTGGAAGAAGAAGATGAGGAAAATGGGAAAGATTTTATAGAGAACAGCCAAAAAGGCAGATTTCATATTTTTATAGTCGGAGTTTCGGTACTGCTCTTTGGTCTGGTCATACCGCACTGGATATTTCCTCACTTCTTCAATTAGTTCCTCCGGTTTTATTGTTGACATTTTTTATTATTTTAGTAAAAAACTAAAAATAACACAGCAAAAACAAAAATAAAAGTCGCGCGTAGGATGCGCGCACCTACTTGCCGTTTTAAAACAGTGCGCATAGGATGCATCGCGGCTACCATCCTGGCGAGCAGCGCGGCCAGCATCTTGGCGAGCATCGCATCGAGATGCCTCACTATGTATGTGCCCTTAAATATCGTCGGATGTCTAGTTCATCTGACAAAATGCCTATACCTGGCGCCTTCCGAAGTTGCGCAAGCATCTGTTGAGTTAATAATCATTGTTAAAGTTAATATAAAACTGTATACTATTCTCCCTTTATAATTTTATAATGTTTTTTTTTAATTTTTATATGTAGTGGAATATCACCCAAAAATGCCTAATAATGTTAACGCCCCTTTTAATTCCGGCCACATTCAAAACATGTCCGGATAAGACTGTAGTACGTATGGAAATCCTACTCAAAAATATCTATACTCTGTTTTTTTTTCTCAGGTAAGATTTCGACAGACGATGACAGAAGAAAATCAGATGACGTCCCATACCAATCTATTTATTTTACTAAAAAAGTTTCTAATAATTTTTAAGTTAACTATGGATGGGTTTAAATATAAATTCGTCATGCGTCGTCACTTGTTGCTTTTAACCAGTTTTATTGGTTTATTTCAAAAATGACAGATCGTATTTCAATTTTATTGGTTTGACGGAACGATGAACAACAAACGGACGCCGATGCGTATGAACTCGCCTTTAGATTTTTGACGTTTGTCAAAGTCTTGCCAAATATAGGTTATAATTTTGTGACAACTTGTGTCAAATACCCTGCGTTTTGGAAGATGATGTATTTTGATTCGTGTTATTACGTGTGTTTTGTGTCTTTTGAAGTCAAGTGGAGGAAAAATCGAGTGAAAATTAACTGTAGAACCCAGAGCACAGTTTATTTGAGTTTATGGTTAATACTCGCTGCCCAGGCAGAAAGTCTTAAACAGATACACCAATAAAGTTACTATCAATAAAGTTCGTATACCATCTCGTCGTAGATAAGTGCATCTCGAATATGGTAGAAGGACCATACTAAACCCATACTAAAAACTGGAGTAGCTGTAAAATATCGACATCACACGATAGGTAAATAATGGATTTTAGTACTGCAGAAAAATAATGTCAAAAGGTACTGGTTTAATAAAATTAAGATTAAAGTTAATTAATCAACCTGTGAGGTATAAAATTTGGTAAGTGTTATTATTAATAAAATTGTTTGTTTTATTTATGTTGTTTTATTTATTCCTGCGGAATATTACAAATTTGTATTTGTACATAAGTTATATTGATAAATATAATCAGAAATGCGGGAAGTTTCATAAAGCTTGAAAGTAAGAAACAGTTCTTTTTTATATTTTTTGGTATGTGGTGTCTTGTTTTTGTTTGTTTTGTATTAACACATACCGTTTTTTATTAAATAAAATAACTCGATTACATTTTTTCAGTTTTGTACAGTTTTTTCACAATATTTTGAAGTTACTTGTCAGTCAAATTTTAAATACATATATTAATTTCCTGCTATGCGTTCCAGTTGTACCAACTTATTTCTTTGTAAAATAAAATAAACTACTTTGAAATTAAAATGACAGACACATCTATCACTGTCAAGGATCTTCTCGTTGGACAGACTCAAGGATATATAGAAGAAGGATATTCAACTCCCTATAGCGGGCTATGTTGGAAAATATGCCGTATTTTGTCGAGGAAGACGATTTCGTCACGACCAATGAGCGTCGAGTATTTGAAATTGAAAACATATAAATTGACGGTAACCTATGTTTTTTTGACTCATTTTACTGACAGATGTGACGAGATTGTTATTGTAATTTATAGATCCAAACGTTTTTTGAATAAATAATTTATTTTAAAGTTATTTCCTAGAGGTTTGGTTTGGTTGTGAGGTTTAATAATTTATTTTAAAGTTATTTCCTAGAGGTTTGGTTTGGCCTTCTATATTCTGGTATTTGTCTACTAATAAATAATATCTTATTTTGTATTTCGATGTATGGAAATCCGCAAGTTTTGTATCTGAAGCCGCAAAGAAGTTTCGCTCTATAGTGAGAAAATTGTTATATCTTTTTAGACGCGTAGAATTACAAAATTTCTTATTTCAGATGTTCTAAATGTGAGTACTTAATGTCAAAAATTTAAATATATACTTGAAATATTATTTCAAGTTATATGCTTTTACCTTTTTTGGAAGTAAACAAATATTGAAGAAAATGTTGTGCCTTCACAGAATTTAAATTGGCATTAGGAATAGACTTCCTTGATTTAGTAATGATATTGCTCATAGAAATTGATAATGTGAAGAATAACAATACAGGAACATAGAATAACAAGAAAGAAATTCTAGCAGCAAGTTAGGTTATGTGATAAATTTTATTTATATAGTTTGTTTAAAGAGTTTAGTTTGAAAAAAATGTAAAACAATTATTATTGTCCAGGTCATTTGATAACTGGGTAGTTAATTGATAACATATTACAGGGACACAGTAAAAAGACAAAACATTTAGACCCTTTGAAAGAGAAATGTTTGCAATGGATATTAATAAATTCTAGCCAATTTGTATGATGTACAATGCAGGCAATATTTCTGCCTCCTAACGTACTATTCGCGTAAAAGAAGATGTGGGTATTGTATTTATAGGTAGTTAATGATACATGGAATATATTTCTATATTATTGCAATAACAATGTCTTTATGTTGTATTTTTTTAGAACGGGTTTATTATTAGTTGGCTAGTGTGTTAGTAGGATAGCCATTAGTAGTTATAAAGTATGAAGTCGTCAGGTATTAATAATAGGAATTGATCAAAACTTATACATTTATTGTGATATTTATATTGTGAATTTAAGTAGTTAGTTTTGATTGTTTAATAAACGAATTAATGTGCTTATTGTGTATCTAATTAAAAGAACAATGAAAAGTTGAATACCATAGGGGTACGTATGTTATACAAAGAATTTGCATCAACATTTTTTTGGTTATATACTTGTACTGATATTTGTTTCTTGAACTAAAGAATTATACAGTACCTACTACACAATATAATAATCTGCAGCTACATAGGTAGGTAGCTATTGGTAATTAAATTTTTTATCTAATATAATATCTAACATCAGAAATATTGTTAATTATCAACTATAAACAACTAAGAACTAGAATTATCAACTATAAACACAATATAATATACTGTATCTTAAGCAATATGTAATTATTTAACAATTTTTTTGGGAAATAAAAACTGGTACTAAATTCTTTTTGACTATTTAATTTCTAAGTCACAAATAATGGTGGACAAATAGCAAGAAAATTATACAAGTAAAACATAATTTTAACTTATTTCTCTAATGGGATTTTGGTATTGATCTACTTAGTAGGATATGCAGTTATCATATTTTTGAATATTTATATTCAATATTGTTCAGGAACAGCCCAATTACTCTGAAAAAAAAATATATGGTCAAATTCTTTGAAAAGAAACTTTTAAAATCAGTAATGATAAAAAAATATATAATTGTTGTATAGCAGAACCAGGGGACACAGAATTAGGGGAATTAACAATAGATTATTAAAAACTGCCTTCTCTTAAAAAAGTAGTATTATATGCACTTAGAAAGACTATAAAGGATATAAGTACGCATAGAAAGAAAGTAAGTATCTATACTACTGATATATATATATAACTATATATGAATACGATACCTACAGTATACAATATTATTAGTATAAAAATAACAGCACAGTCGGCACACTTTAAAATAAAAAAGCAGCATAATATTCAGGTATGTATAAAAGTAAAATTTTCTCAAAAATATTAGAATATGAAATAAATTGCAACTAAATTTTAATTAATAAACATAAACAAATAAAATTGTCAGTGTTATTAAAACTTTATGTAAATATATGTTACCTTAATACTTTGTCTTTAATCCTACTCTTCTGACATGGCTTTTCAAACTTATGCCCAAATCTCAATTCTTGTTATTAAGAATAATATTTATGAACTTTTGTTTCCATATTAATTTCAATATATTTGAATAAAACTGGAAAAATAATCAATATTGGCACTTGAAATTTTAACTTCTTATGTCCTTAAATTATTTATATTGTGTTATACATAATACTTACATAAATATTCAATTTAAAAATAGATCAGCACTTGAACGAGTGAATATAAAATAGTATATTATCAATTTCTATGAGCAATATTATTACTAAATCAAGGAAATCTATTCCTAATGCCAATTTAAATTCTGTGAAGGCACAACACTTTCTTCAATATTTGTTTACTTCCAAAGGGCAAAGGGTATAACTTGAAATATTTCAAGTATATATTTTAATTTTTGACATTAAGCACTCACATTTAGAACATCGAAATAAGAAATTTTGTTATTCTACGCGTCTAAAAGATATAACATTTTTCTCACTATAGAGCGAAATTTCTTTGCGGCTTCAGATACAAAACTTGCGGATTTCCATACATCGAAATACAAAATAAGATATTATTTATTAGTAGACAAATACCAGAATATAGAAGGCCAAACCAAACTCTAGGAAATAACTTTAAAATACATTATTTTTTCAAAAAACGTTTGGATCTATAAATTACAATAATAATCTCATCACATCTGTCAGTGAAATGAGTCAAAAAACATAGGTTACCGTCAATTTATATGTTTTCAATTTCAAATACTCGACGCCCATTGGTCGTGACGAAATCGACTTCCTCGACAAAATACGGCACGTTTTTTTTTGGGCCAGTCGAATATCCTTATTCTATATATCCTTGGACAGACTATATCCATATGGGACCAGGCACTTGCACATACATATAGAATTTAAGGTTATATATATAAAATTATTATTATTATTAAATATTATATGTTATAGAATTTAAGGTTTCATCTATAAAAGAGATGTGAGTGGCTTAAATAATTAACAATAGCGGCAGAGCATATTTTAAAACACTAATTTCAGAGCAGTAAAATGTGGCAATTTATTTTTTTCCATAGCAACTGTTAAAATTGACTTATATATATCAAAAATAGTAGATAAAATAGTACTTTAACCGCAAGGGTAGATTAAATGATACTTTAACAGCGAGGATAGGTTAAAACTTTATTTCTTCTGGCTCGTTTTTTAATAGCATCCATTTTTGAAAATTTTTGTATTCTTTTTCATAAGTTATTCGGGATTTCAATGGAAGAAGTTGAATATGGCGTTTGTCGCCTCAGCCTGAATATCTGTTGCTAATTTACTTATTTCGTTTTGAGCCATTTCTGGCTCCAATTCAATCAGCAATCGACACGAAAGAGAATTAAAAATATTGACTCAAAACTGACAACTAAAGAGACAGCTTTATTTATTTGTCAAATTACATAGAAACCAACGCCCAACCCCAACGCACAAAATTTTTTATTTTTTCTACTCTTGAAATAATAATTTCTGAATATTTTTTAAACGTAACTCGCTATGGAAAAAAATATTGTTTTATACACGACGATAAAATTGCATCATCGTCTCCCGTAATTAATTCACTCGCGATTTCATCGCTCGTGAATTAATTTTTTCAGTCGACGATAAAATACAATTTTATCGTCTTGAATAATGATAATATAGGAAATGATATAACCTGAAAAATAAAGGATATGCAATCCAGCAACGATGTTATTGATTAAAATTTGGCAAAAATAATTTCAATGTAAAGATCGGAAAATTGGTAGGTTTACAGATTTCCAATAAAACAATATTATTTTCTAACTTTTTCATCTAATACGTGAAATAATGCATTTTATTCACGTAAACCGTTAATAATAAATCTCCATATAAAAATTCTATTCACCGCGATTACTAATTCATCTGTCTCAATACAATTAAAAAATGCATCATTGCCAGAGGTAATAAATCACGACCGTATTGTTTTACTAACGGTTCAGCGGTTTATCTTCTCGCTTCGTTATTTTTCGAAAACAATTAGCATAAAACCCAGTTGCGCGCACCTGTTCTAGTTTCGACTTGAAAACGAATGATATAAATTTAATTAAATTTGCCTCAGAGAAATAAGTAAGTCTAGATGGAGAATCGTCACGCTTGTAAAATTATGACATTTCAAATGAATATTAGCGAGATTACAAATCAATTAAATCAATAATTTAAATTTAACTCCAGATTTGTATTTGTACATTATAAAAAATCTTTTAACAAATAGCTTGCGTAAAATGCCCTGTATACCTTTGTAGTGGATTCATGGATTAATTTCTGGAAAACTGTCACTAAGCTCAGAATTTAAACTCTCAGTGGCTTTTTACTTGTAAGCAAATTTTCTCAACCAAAAAATAACAATTAACGTTCTGTTGGTAAAATTGGGATAAAGTTGCGCCTTAGAATGTTTACCAAGATGACATCAAAAAAGTTTTAAAAATTTCATGGATTGCTGAGTTGGGTTTGGTCGAGGGGTTGGTTAAATAATTTTTTTTTGCTGTCATACTTTTTTGAAAATCAAAAAACTAATTGCACATACTAATGCCATTTTATTAGGGCTATCTGACAGTATTTTTAGATTTTCAAATTAGCTGATAATTTGTGAGGATACAGAGGCCAACTTAATTTTTTTTTAAATACGGACCTGTATTTTTTATTTCGGGTTTTGAACATTAACGTTTTTGGTATCTTAATAACAACAAAACTATTTAATTATTATTTAAAATAATTTTAATTTCGACTCTGTTTTTTTAAATTATTTAATATGAATATGTTCTTCGCAACAATATTGCTCAGCGCTAACTAAGGCTGAATAAGGAAAATCGAGCTGATTGAAAGCTTCAAATATATTAATATCCAGGTCAGCAATTTAAAGATAATATTATTTTTAATTTTTTTTTATTGTGAATTGAAATCTCAATATACGATCTAATACGTATCATATTAATCGTAGTTATTTTAAATAAATCAACTTCTACAAACTAGTTTTTAATGCTCTACATGTTCGAAAGGGTTACCACACCCTCCCTATTGCACAAATTTATTTTTCGTTCAATTTTATTTATAGCTCTGTTAACAGATCTTCTTATACTTCCGAATGCATTTTGTATCCTTTAGTGTAACTGTTGAGATGTATTTATTTCACTTTTACAAAGGTCTTCAAGTATTGCCCCACCCCCAATTCTTTCAAAACCTGAAATAAAGAATGCAGGTCCGTATTTAAAAAAATTAAGTTGGCCTTTGTATCTCACAAATTATCAGCTAATTTGAAAATCTAAAAATACTATCAGATAGCCCTAATAAAGTTGATATGAGAATAAGCAATTAGTTTTTTGATTTTCTAAAAAGCAACGATAAGAAAAAATAAAATTGATTTTCAAAAAACCCCAGCAATCTTTGAAATTTTCAAAACTTTTTTGATGGCATCTTCGTGAAAATCCCAAAGCGTAACTTTGCCCCAATTTAACCATATTCGTATCTATTACGGTTACCGAGATACCAATGCTCTTACCTCGAATTTGTAGCACCATTGTATAATAGCCACATTGTATAAATTTCAGTCTAATCTTTTGTAAGTATTTTTTTGAATATCTTTTAGGATTCATTGATGGCTTTCATCTCATTTTAATATGATCTTATTGAGAGAACAATGCTACATGTGTGATTAATTGTACACTTCTATATTAACATATTTCTCTGATACTTTTATCGTTAAGAACGAAAGCGCCACACAGAGAAGGAATTAGGGCAAGAAAAGTGAGAGTAATTCCGAACTGTTTTGTTTGGGTTTCGATTCGCGATAAATGGTTTTCTCTTATTTTAGTGGCTCATAAATATGGGCGGTAAGTAAATATTTTGTAATAATCCTCGGAAAGAACGCGTACACAAGCCGATGGTCTGAACTGTTAACGGATATATTTATATTTTTAAGAGAGAAAATAGAAAAAACTTTCATGTGGATTTTTTTCTGACCTTTCTGACACATAAAATGGATAATGTATTATGTAAAGTCTACAGGGTGGCGCTTCCCATACAACTCGCCATAGACTACAAGGTGACCCCAAAAAGGTATGATTAGTGGCACTAAATCCTAATAGTCGAAAATAACACAAGAAAAGTACAGTACAATAAAATATAAAAAAACAATATTTTATTTAAAAAAATTAAATAAAATAAAGAAAAATATTTCCAGCTACTAATACATTTAACTACTTAAAATTGAAAAAAAACAGTTAATTAGATGAACAAGTCCAAGGCAATGTTCTGATCCAATTCAAAAATATATAGATATGGTAACCCAATAACTTTGTAGATATTACTTGTTTTAGGGAATTTGCCTTTAAGTCTAGTTAAATTACTTTGATTCAACATACTTTTTTTGTGGAAAAAATTGCATGACAGTTGTTTTAGAGCTTTTAGTGATAAAATGTTATTTCCAAGACAGTCCAAGAGTTTATTTAAACTATTAGTTAAGCTATTGACAGTTGCATTAGTTGACACGCCTCAAGCTATAAAGTGTTATCATCATCATCACTTTCAGCTTATTCAACCATTTCCAATTATAGTGTAGCCTCCCCCACATACTCTGTTTGTAGTTGGGCCCATAGTTATCTATTGTTGGCTATGCGGGCCTAAGTTATCCCTGCTAATTTCCTAATATTATGGTCCCATCTCAGGTTCGGTCTTCCTCTAGGACCCTTCATTCCTCGTGGGTACCTGTGTGGGTACCATGCTCTAATTCTTATGGTTTATACAGAGTGTCCCAGAAATAAGTGCAAGTATTTTAACCGGTACTATAGTTCAACACCAAAAGCACGCTTATGAGGTTTTTTTCGCGAAAAAAAATTGAAAATTCGGAATTTTTTGAAAAAAAATTTAGAGATTTTTTTAATTTTTAGTTAAAAAAATAATTTCTTGATAATATGGCAACATAGGTTACTACCTATTATTTATTTACAAGAAACAAAATCCAAATTAAATTTACAAGAAAGTAAATCCAGAAAAGATCCAGTGGTTCTCAAAATTTTAACAAAAAATCATTTTTTTGGGAAAATTTCAATGTAAAATAACTCTGTTATTTTAGACTTATTTGAAAAACGATAAAGAGAAAATATATTTCTTTTATCGAGAATACTCCTTAAAATACTTGTACTTATTTTTGGGACACTCTGTA